TCGAGAAAATATATAAATGTACATACATATTATATATAGATGCCGCCTACTTAAAGTTTTTGAAATATTTGCATTTAAAGTTCAAAAATTGAACTATTCAAAATGCGTGTTCAATTGATAATGAACTTTACACTTATATTTTTAACTTTTATGCCCCCTTACACTGCACTAATTCGGTTATTTTGTATTAAATAACGAAAAACGAACTTAAATTCCAAATTTAACGGGGAAAACTTTAGTATATCGTCCAGGATTTCGGGAATAGAACGGCTATGGTCGGATAAAGGAGGTTTTCCAGATCAAGGATATATATTGAGTTATAGCCGCAGGAAATTTATAATTTTCGAGATATTTGCGTTTGCAGTTGAAAATTACCCTTATATTTTGCACTTTTATGTCCACTAGCATTTCACTGATTCGTTTTAACACTTTTTTTACATTATACAGTATGTAATGCAATTGAGTAAATAAAATCGAATATTCCTGATTTCAATTTTTTTTTTTTTGCACTATCCAACTGATTACGAAAAGAATATATACACATGTATTCGAATTGGTACACTTGTTGACTTTTTTTCGCGGAAATATAACGGTACAATTTTTAACATTTTTCTGGCGGTGTCTGGTTTGCGTCACGTGCGTATTTGCTCAATTGTGTTATAACATCGGTTGCGTTCAGGCGTGTGAGCATAGCTAAGACTAAATAAACAACTTTCGAGTATTTTAAATACCAGTAGCTCTACTTATCAATTAACTAACATTTTCAGAAGTATTTTTCATTGTTTCGACGGTAAGTTGATTTAGAAAGATTGCTTTTTGTGAAGCTGTTTAACTTCGTGTTTCTTTTTAGAAAAATGAAGAAAATTGCTGACTATTAAAAAATCTGTGCTTCAATGATTGAATGAAGGGCTCTCATATCGCCAAGTTGCAAATTTAGCTGAAATTTCATTTGGGTCAGTGAAAAATATTGTTAATTGTCATGAAATATCAGTACCAAAACATCCATCTGATCGCCATCTTTCAACCGTCTGGTGACCTCGGGAGCAGTAAAATCTGATACTGAGGTTCAAAAAGAACTTGAGAGGACTTAAGGAAAACAAGTTTCTCGCATGACTGTACACCGCGAGTTGAAAAAACTAGGGTTTAAAACCTGGGGCAAAATTAAAAAACCTTTGCTGACTAAACATCATCAAGAACTACGTCTAAAGTCCCGATATTAATCCAATCGAGAACCTGTCTTTTTCCACCGAAAACAAAGGCGGAATTATTTACTAGATGTGTAGAAGTATGGAACTTCATCACTAAAAAAGAATGTGAATATTTAGTCAATAGCGTTTTATATCGATATCAAACTTAAAGTTCAAATCTATTTATTTAATAAAAACTAAAAGGTTGCAAGTATGTCAAATAATCAACGCTACTTTATCAACATCTTTTGTAAATGAACTAAAAGTAATAAAGAAAATAGATTATACCCAAAAAAAAGAATTTTTGCAGTTGTCTATGCCAAAAAATGACTGCGATTTAGAATAGCATCCCCCGATTGGTTTCGTGGTTGCCTCCGAACTGACTCTTCTTTATTTTTTCTCGCTTTCATGTCGCCAGTTACAAGTTTTAAAAATTACATCAGGGTTGCTTATTCGAGTAACATGAAAGTAAGGTATGATACAAATTCAAAAGTACAACAGGATTGCTTATTCAAGTAACATTAAAATAAGGTATGATACAAATTCAAAAATACAACAGGATTGCTTATTCAAGTAACATCAAAATAAGGTAACGATACAGCATACTACAGTAATTACATTTACATTGCTACAATTCGGCCGTCCTGACCATGAGATCACCTGATCCCAAGTGACTGACTAGACTTCGCGTCCTTTGAACCATGGTTTTATATTTCCAACTGCCCATAC